TTTGTTAACCTCGCAATGATGGATGACGCATGAACAATGAAAACCTCTGTTCTTTGGTTCCTCTGTGTGAGAAGTCGACTACCGCAAATCTTTAAAATCAAACTAAGGTCATCACCATATTGATCTCGTAAATCCAGTTGCTATCCGTAAACAGTTACGGCGCGTCATGTTGTCCTTGATGGCTTGTGATGACAGCACACTAGCATAGGCATACTATGAGAATACATATTCATATATTTTTGTCACCATAAGACGCCCATTAACCAAGTCAAGTCACAATAGCGTTTTGTGTACGCATGCTTTCAAGCTACTCTGAAGTCCATTTTTCGAATCCATCGATTGTGACCCTACAGAATTGTTTTGCTTTGATATTTCTTTTTAATTTTTTTGTGTTTAGGGAGACTGTTGGATTTGCATGGAACTCATGGATATATCGCTAGACATCCTTTACAAAAGAGTCTATAATGTCCACCTTGCTCGATTCGAAGAAAATGTGATCGGCCACATTGCTGTTTCTGTATGTTGTCTTTGCACTAAAATAGCTAAGAAGATCATCTCTGCATATTGTTTTCAGGTGATAGACGCGCTCGATTATCTTAAGTGTCATTTGGAAATCATTCATCGAGGTGGGTGATGATGGCATAGTAAACTCGATTCTATTCATTCAAAGTCAGTCAGAGTTGATTATGTGCGCAGGGTTGTTTTCATTTTGCGACATTTGCATTCAAAACGTCGGATATTCCCATAATTAGTGCTGCTCCTCCTTAGCTCAATTCCTGTGTGATTTCCTGTATGGAATTTCTATACTATTCGTGTTATTTTTCAATGTTTAGCCTTTTTCGCCATAATTCCCATTCGAAACCGGAAAAACGTGCGTCTTTTTGTGGTCGTTGTGACTTTATTTGATCGCGTGGTCCACATTCGAATGGGAACGCGGTACCTCGTTTTTTGTCTGAGTCTCAAAATTGTTCATTCCAGATTGCAAAAGAGAGCGATAGTCGCATGCTCTCATAAAAACCTGATTCGTCGTGAATCATGCTTGTTTATGCTTGCCGTTGCTGGAAGGCAAATGGGATGGGATTCGCCACGTAAACTGGTTGGCCAAACATTAGTTGTGCCTTCAGAAGATCCCAGATTATTCATGCTCTCACAGAAATCAATTTGATGAAGAGGGTGGGAGAGAAAAACCAGGATTCTCTTCAACGAGAACTGGCAGGGCCACCTTTGAGTTGTCGTATGGACGGACTGAAAGATTTCGTAGTACGTGCGTCATGTAACAGAACAATCTAGTAGACGGTCGTGCAGCATCAAGTCACAGCATGAAGTGTTGTCTGAATTTGTCATCTTCGGCGAGAGTTCTATGAACACAAAGTCCACTCGTTTTCTTGAAATATTCGCAAGTCAATGTAGTAAGACTTGAGGATGATTCCTGCAAGTGCTTCGCGGCCTTCGGACCGAAAAATGTCCCGTTTCTGTTATTTATCACAGAAGACGCAATTTCAAAACAATTTTGGGCGACTATTGCAACTCGCTGTTTCGCTTGTTGGCAGGAACTGGCCTGTGTAGGAACTATTGACTGTGACGTGTAGCGTACGTTATGCTGGTGATATTTGCTAACAATTAGCAGGATGAGGATTTGAGAGAGTTGGGAAAAGTTGATTGTGAAGGGCTTTCCAGTAGAGCGGCAGGCTGCGTAGCCTTTTGCGTTAACTTTTCTCGAGCGTCATCAACCAGGAAGTACTGGATCTAGAAGCTTAAGCTCTATGGACGCGTAGATCGAGAGAATCATGACGACAGACACCTCATTAAAATGGTCATCTTCCTTTTTTTTTTTTTTTTTTTTTTTTTTTTTTTTTTTTTTTTTTTTTTTTTTTTTTTTTTTTTTTTTTTTTTTTTTTTTTTTTTTTTTTTTTTTTTTTTTTTTTTTTTTTTTTTTTTTTTTTTTTTTTTTTTTTTTTTTTTCCCCCTTTTTTTTTTTTTAATAATGCAATTTTTAGCGAAATTATTTGATTTACAATTCGTGGTCGCTAACGGACTTACATTGCACCTGAACAAGGAGGAGAGCGTCCTCTCTTTTTCAGAAATCAGTTCCTTTCAGACGTGAAGCCGTCAAACGTTTTGGTCAATAGAGCTGGTATGGTCAAGTTGTGCGACTTTGGAATAAGTGGGAAGCTCATCGATTCACTGGCAAAAACTCTTGATGCTGGCTGCCAGCCATATCTCGCGGTAAGTTCACATGATTTATATCACACCACTGCTTGCGTAAATTGTCTTGGTATCTCACTTTTGGCGGGGGGGTAGGGAGAGGCGTGAAAACGACGCGATACTGATTAAACTCAACCCGCCTGGAAGGGGCGGGTAAAGTTCAGCTCAGTCTCTAGGAAGGGAACCGTTAAATATAGAGGTTTCGTTCAAACAAAGACAAGATTTGAAAAATTTGAGCAAAAACTCCGCCGCCTTTCTGGTGCGTAAGCGACAAGCATACAGCGCGCAAGTAGCGAGTATTCACCTGGGCACGGCTCAGCAACGCTGAGGCGTTGATGCACAAAGTTGCACCCAGGTCTTCGCTCTTGCCATGGATCCCTCCGCAAATTGATGCTACTTCCTTCTGTTGCTACTGGAGAGGGTTTTTTTTTCTAGTTTTGGTCCTTTTCAACGGCTTCTTTCGTTTCTTTTCCATTACCGGCATGTTATGCATCGCTTCTCCGCTGTCATCTTCAGCCGTAATAACACACCAATTTCGCCCCGGACTTTGCGTTCAAGGCTTCACTGAGCTGAAGTAAAGCTCCACTGAGCTGGGGTCTATGCATCACAAAAAGCAACCCATATCCTACTCAACCAATATTTATCAACCATTTAAATAAATAAACAAATATCAGAGAAAGGGTATCGTTTCGAAGGAAATAGTTCGAGAAAGGAGTTGAAAAACTAGATAACAACATTTAATCAACAATGCCCTTGTCTTCATCTGTGCCCTAAATTCTACAGTTGATATCTCGAAGTCTGATTGAGCGTGTCACCGGGAGCTGATAGTTCGTCGTGTGGACCACAATATTCTGCCAGATTATCAGCAACCGTGTGTTGGACGAGCAACTCCTACGCGCACTTTTATCAGTGGCGAATGGCTGCCCCTCAAGGCGATCGTGCGGAACTTTTATCCGTGCGGATGGCTGCCAAACGTAACGACGGACAAGCGATGGAGCGATCGCGATCGCTCCATCGCTTGTCCGTCGCTTGCCAATCGCTCTCGGTCGAGCGATTGGCAAGCGATTGCGCAATGTGCACAAGCGACGGGCGATTGGCCCCGCCCCCAGTCAATGCAGTCGGCTGCGGTATCGATCGAGCAGAGCCATTGCCCGTCGCTTGTGCACTTTGCAAGCGATTGCGCAATCGCTTGCCAATCGCTCGACCAAGAGCGATTGGCAAGCGACGGACAAGCGATGGAGCGATCGCGATCGCTCCATCGCTTGGTCCGTCGCCGACTATGACGTCGGTCTTACGGTGACACGCCCAATCAGACTTCGAAATCTGGACTGTACTTCGGTCGTTTGTGCAGGAACACTGACATGGGGATACAGGCCAATCTGACAATGACAAGATTTAGCCTCAAAAACACCGAGGCAGCATTTGCAGGATTATCGGCTTATTCGTGAAATTTTCTGTTCTTTTCTGCGTAAGTTTAAGTTCTTCTCCTTTCCAAAAATCGACAAGTCATTTTCTCTGCCAAGAATCGTCCAACTGTTGATCCCGACAAGCTTCGGTGGTGGATGTCTTAAGAATTTACAGTCATGCATCATCCGAATTCGTCTGTTAAGTTGAGTTAGGAAATAGTCAGGATTGTGTACCGATATTCAGAGTTTAATGACTTCCTCTGAAATAAATTCCTCGGAATTCGAATCCTCGAATGTGTTTTTTATTTTACAGTACGCCTGATATGTTTCACGTCTCTTTCGGATGGAAGAACTTTGATTCGACGAGTGATAGCTGTTTAATTACTTAGACTCTACTCATCTCGTGCTCGAGCACACTGTGCGGCGAATATCTTTCACTGTTGGCAGTCTTGTGCATTCTCTTTTCCTCATCCTCTTGGTAGTATCCTGTTTACACCACTCGCGGAATTTGTTGCATGACGGGCGCAAATGGCCAGGCTATACTGTGCCACAATCGCGTGAAGGCTGTTCGAACCACAGCGGTGTAAAACATCCTTGTCAGTGGTGGAGTGTGTCTTCATGACCCGACACAAGCAGCGTTGTTGAAAGGTGTTCATTTTTTGACGAAATTAGTAGTACATTGCCATGTTTCGCCTTGCCTATAGTGCAGTAGGAACCGCGATGGAATAGTTATACAACTGCTTGATGTTTCACGATAACGATGATCGCACCCATATTGGCTGAAGTCGCCGAAATACGGCGGCAGCGTTCGCAATTTGTGTGCAGACGTCCGTTTCGGCCTCACTATTGAGGATGATCGCTGTTCCGAGATAGGTGGAAGTGTCGATGGCCTTTCCGTAGCGTATCATCAGCGATGCTTAACTGTGTCCAAACAAGGCTCACCTTTATGACTTTAGATTTGTAGGCGCAATCCAAGTGTCCGTTTTCCTGCTGAGCCAAGTTATGGCCTACTGGAGTTTATTTTAGTCTGCGGCAAGAAGTGCTATATAGTCAGCAAAATCCAAACCCGTGAGTCTACCCTGATCATCAACTGATGCCTACTTTTCATCGTTTTCCTTATGGCGATGTCCAGGCAAATATTGAACGGATTTAGGATAGAACACATCCTTGCCGCACTCTCGTACCGTTTTGAAAGAACGGCGTACACCCGAGTCCTTCCTTGTTATACAGGACAAGCTGAGACATAGATTCTTGAATATGCTAATGAATAGTCGCGAGACACATTTTGATTACCCATAACGATGAATGCTGCACACCCTTGAAGGTACGCGACACGCTGCTCGATAATGTTGCGAAGAGTGAAGATTTGTGGGGGGAGAGAAAAGTTCACCGGCGGCGCGGACGCGAGCGCGTGCAGCTGACGTCACAGCTGCGGCAACAGCACGAGAAGGCAAGACTAAAAGCGTCGCTGCCACTTCGCTTGAATAGTAGAAGGGTAGCTGGCACCTCACCAACTAGTGCAATCAGTAGTGCCGTGAGCGAAGTGATTGTATTGTGTATAGGTACTATTTCGCCTTCAAAAATTAGGAATCTGTTGCGAATAAGGAGGAAATCAACGGTTTCCTATGTAAAAACCTGATAAATTCGTAATTCGAAGTTGATTTCAATAAGTCCATTCTTCGTTATTACTTCTACTCACTGCATAGTGAAGTCAGAGTCGATAGTGTCCTATACGTAATGTTATAAAGTATTGGCACCTGTCTTGCTCAATCCCTCGCCGCCGCTGTGACGTCAAAGTGACGTCACCTGCACGCGCTCGCGTCCGCGCCGCCGGTGAGCTATTCCATGGAGCCAAGATTTGTTTGCAACACGAAATTGTCGTTTTTTATACGGTCTTGTCTCTTTGAGAAAAACATGAGGTTATCAAATTTCACCGCTTCTGTTCATATATATTACAGTAGTACTGTTGCAGCCTGAGCGGCTATCTCACTACGGCAAAAAGTACGATATTCGATCAGACATCTGGTCTCTCGGAATCACATTAGTGAGTTCACTTGGCACTCGTATATATTTTCACTTATAATTCGTTTAATGTGAGAAACCAAACAAACACAGTTTAGTATGAAATTGCGACTGGAGAGTTCCCGTATCCACCTTGGAAATCAGTGTTTGATCAGCTGAGTGCTGTTGTTCAAGGCGATCCTCCCATGCTAAAAATGGATGGGCAGTACTCATATGATTTTGTGACGTTTGTTAGCAAGTGGTCAGTGATGCTCAAGATGTTCCACATGAAGGAGAAGTTCATGAAAATTTAAATATTTACAGCTTGACCAAGGATTATAAAGATCGGCCGAAGTATCAGGCGCTCAAAGAGGAAAAATTCTATAAAGTGTGAGTCGAGTTTTGTTGTCGTTCTTGGAAATTCAAAGTTATTGATCGTAACTACCGTGCGTTTTGAAAGCATAAAGACACTCATGAAAGCTGCTCCTCCGGGTTGGCATGAAAGATACATGACTTGCTGCCGGCTTCAATGCATGCTGAATCCAGCATGCACTGAAACTTTAGTTTGCTCTATTTCAGATAAATACATGAACTGTAATCATTTTCATAAGAAAATTCTGAATGTCCCTCCTGGTTGAACAGTATGGCGACACCCTGGGCGAGAAAACTTCAACAATGAAACTTTTTTTCCTGTCAATTCCTTTGGGATTCAGTGGGCAGGCTGAGTCAAACCACACTACAGGGGTGGCCGAAAAAGGGACACTACATTTCCGACAGCATAATCACACTTTGCTAAACTCAAACCGACTGCTCCCAACTTAGTATTAAAGAGCACATCCCAATCTATCAATAAACGTTATAATAGCTTTCTGCACCAAGGACATCACAAGAATTTGCCATGGGAACCTTGTGCACGGTTCGAGCTCAACTGGTCCTCGACGGATCATGGACCATTACGACGTTATCTGAAACGCTGGTCGGGGGGGGTCTTGCATATTTAGAGCTACTGTCCCTAGGAAGCAATCCATCAGTTAACCGATTGAAGAAATTCCGTAGCAGCTTCAGGCTGGAACGATTACTTTAGGCCTTCTTGAGCTCAACGGTGATGGAAGATGACGTCATATTTTGAGGACGGTGAGGGCAGTGAAGAGGGCCTGCTTCTACTTATGGGGGACATCTAAGGGAATATTTTGCCGTAAAACTTTCATCAACAGCGGCACCCTGTGCGATGAAAAGTTTGATGATGTGCGCCATGGGCAAAGTGTCTCTTTTTTGGCCACCCCTGTACATTCATAGTAGATCTGGACAATCTACGCATTTTACCCAGGAACAAGTTTGTGCGAAGGTCAAATGCTTCATAGGTGTTTAACTTGGTCAATTCCTAGATGTGTTAGCATTTTTTATGGGTAGTTCAGCTTCTTATGAAAACAGGGGAATCTTTGGACCGTATGAGCTTGAATATGTCGTATCCAACAAACGTCCTCCAGTTCAGCCACGTCAGTCAACCAGATGTGGCATGAGCTTTTGCTTTCTGCATTAAAAATCCTCACCTGGAGAAGTGCGAACTCAACTCGAAGTATTGTGCGGGGCTTCATGATGAGGTCCTCTCCCTTGGGTAAGCACCACGAAATAGCTCGCCTCAAATTTGAATGGAGGAACATGATAACTTACCGGGATTCTAGAGGTCGTTCCACTGCTTGGAAAGCGCCTTCTTCAAGATGACTAGTCAAGGCACTTTTGGATCTGGTTAACTTTTCCTGTTGGAATGAAACGTGTTGGATGTTAACCACAGCTGATAGATGCACCCCAGAAAAGTTTTTTCGGTTCTTAGCCGGGGGAACTTTGGTAGCGGCTCCCATATGATCTAGGTTACATTGTGCACCAGTGCTGTACTCTCTGGCCCGTGTATCATGTAGAGCGGGCTCCAGCGACCACGAGGACTTTCTTGCTGATCATTCACTGCCGGTCCTTATACAGTGCGTTTCATTGGTATACGTCCACCCCTGATTTTACCAAAAACGTTTCTTGAAGACTTTGCCCAATTTAGCAGCATACATTATCGGATTCACTGTGTTAGAAAACTACGAAAAGCACGTTCTCAAAGAAGTAAGATTACGGGGAAATTTTTTAGAAGTACTTCTTCGATTTTCGACCGTTTCATAATATACGTCCACTCTTAGTATACTTCTCGAAATAAATTTTCCTGATCCAACCGAAGTGCGTGTTTGTACCAGATGTAGAACCGACTAGTCTTCTCGCGATGCCCGTGGTCTCCGTCTTTCTGTAGAGGAAAAGACTCGATTTCGGGCTCTCCATGATGGCGGACTCAGGCATCGGCAAACCACCAGACAAATCGACAGGATTCACTGCTTGCTTTGCTTTCATCTCAGAGATTCTGAAGGCTACCTCGACGGCGAAACTCCTAGACGCCAACGCAAGCTATCCGTCAGAGATTAACGAGAAATTTGGAGGAAAGTTTCCAGCAACACATGCAGCATCAACCAAATCCGTGCAGATTTGTAGGTGTTTGTCTCGAAATCCACCGTAGTGAGGGCTATCAAATGGAGCGGTGACATTGTGAGAGAATTTATGAGCAAGACCGACATCCAACCAGAGCACTCGAG